CCAATCATACCTAATAGTCCTGATCTCTGATAAATATCATAACGTTCAAATCTTATGGTTCTTTGCCATATGCCCTGGAAACAGAGAGAAAAGAGAGAAGGAGTGGAAGCAAGAAGTGTCGTAATTTATGTGGTGGAGGGAGGATGCAGATCCACAACTTCTTCATAGATGGTTACCTAACCTGAAACTTACTCATGGAAAGTTGCATTGAGGACTCTGAAAAGATAAGTAAATTGCCCATAATCAAATAACCGAAACTACAATAGAGGTCTTTCCGACCTTGAGATCACTACATCAGGCTGACTTTTAGATTCATCAATAATGAAAATAATACCAAGCTAATGTTTTGTTTTTCTAACCTCACTGAGGAAACTCTGATTCACTAGGTCAGCTTTGTTTTCAAACTAATTCGGCCAGAGAGCACATTGAGTTTGAAATACATTGACAGAAGCCATAAATGCTCGTGGGAGAAGTCTAGGGAGTCTTCGGGTATGGAATTCTCTTCCTCCCAAGCCTCCTCTCTGAAAGAGGAGGCCACAGAAAAAAATGCTATGTGTATAAGTATTTTTTATAATGCACAGTTTCAGAAATAATATTTTTGAAAAGAATGCATTCCTAGCCTCAACATTTCCTCATGGAAAGAACTGTAGGGCTCTGTGAAATGCCATTTGGGAAACACTGCTCTATGTCATGAATGTAGGACTGGGGACAGGAGACCTGAGTTTGAGTTACAGCTCTGTCATTTATAAGCTAAATGACCTTGGTCGAGTCACTTAATGGTTATTGAACCTCAGTTGGACCAGATCAAGGGTTCCTTATATGTAGTCTGGGAACTTTAAAAAATATATTTTGCTAACTACATTTTAATATAATTGGTTTGCTTTGTAATCTTATGTATTTTATTTTATTCATTTAAAAATGTTATTCTGAGAAAAGAGTCCACGGGCTTTAACAGACTGCCAATGGGTTAAGATCCCATGGCTAGATGATCTTTAAGGCCCCTTCGTCTTCTGACATACTAGGATTCATTTAGTGGCCTAATAGTCCAAAAGACTCCCAGGCTTTTCTCCTAGTTCTGCATTATATTAACTCATGGCATGTATATTTTTTTCTGGGATTTTACTGTGAGTACTAGAAGCCTCTTTGGAATAGAACTTTGATTGTTCAGTCTTTTATGTTGTTGCTTTATGAAGGTGTTAAAAATGCCCCTTTAAAAGCCACGACTGGCAAATTGTTTAGTTAAATTGTGCGTGGCAGGCTCCTATGAATTCTTCACACCCATTACAGTTTCCCTGTAATGGGCCATCATCCTTGAGAGATTACACTTTAGATACTTGAAGTGTTTATCCAGAATGATGCAGCCCGATTATATGGTCCACTTGCAAGCAAACATCCCCAGCAGCAACACACCCAGTCTGTGATCAAATACATAGGGAGATATGCTGATTGTAACAAACCCTTCATTTCCACATAATAACAGTAAATGTTTAAGGGGCTGCTAAACAATAAAAAGGCTCTTTTCAAATGAAGCCCATTTTCTTGAATAGTGTGATTGGATGATTGGATTATAGCTATTACATTTTATAAATGAGAAGACCAAATATTGCTGTGGGGCAGTTGAAGTGAATAGAATATTTTGGGGCAGAGACCTAAGATTTGGTGACTGAAAGGAAGAATATTACAAAACATATAATGGCACTTTGGGCTTCTCTTAAAAGCGTATGGAGCCTCTGAGAATGAGGGGAATGAGGGAATATTTTGAGAGACTCTTTCTTGATTTCTTGGATGAACCTAATGAAAATATCAAAATCCATCACACACAAAGATCATTATCCTGAAGCCATCTTTATCACTGCTTAGTTCTGAGCTCCAAGAAGACTTCCTTTGCTATTTCCCTAATTAGTAATTTCATTGCAAATCCAAATAGGAAAATTATAGCTTAGGAGGCTCCCTCTCCTAATGAAGATCATCAACTGTGTTCCACAATTTATAGTGTTAGAAGGCTACCTGGACCACTGAGAAATTTAGTAATTTACCCAAAGTAACATAGCCAGGATGTGTCAAAGACAGGACTTGAAACATAGGTTTTCCTGATGTGAATGCCCTTCCTCTGGCCACTATTCCATTCTTCCTCTCTGTGTACTTATATTCCTCTAATTAATATCCATGGGAAAGTTTTTATATTCTTGTCTTTCACTAATATCCAAAGGCATCAGAAATGAATGCAATTAGCTGACATTAGGAATTTGTAAGCTCTAGCTCCAACCCTACCTTGAACCTCAACTTCATTAAGGGCAGGAAAATATCTAGTTTTTGTGTTATGTGTGGTATAGTAGAAAGAACAGTAGATTTTAGAGAGAAGAAATCTGGTTAGGTTAAAATTCTGACCTTGGCATTCCTTATAGGCGTGACTTTGGTTGAGTCATAGATGGGATCCTAGTTAGGTTTATAGGCAACAGAAAGTGGATGTAGCTATCAATTTGTGTTGGAGATAGGATCCAAAGAGGTTTAGAATGGTTGAGGAAACATAAAATGTCAATTAATTGATATGGGCAAGGTCTTAGTCTGAATTTAATTTAATTATAAGGATAAAATGAGGAAGGCAATAGTTCATATTTAAAAACATTGTGTACAATTCAAGGCATTCTATTTTAATCAGGACATTGGCGGAGAAAATTCATGCAGAAATACATAATTAAAATAGGGAGGACCTGATTCCATGTGAAAGGAGAATCAGTAGAAGAAACTGGAAGGGGGCCATTGCCTGAGAAGAAAGGTCTCAAGTAACTAGAAATGAGAACTATCTTCAAGTATCTGTCCTCTGAAAGAGGGATTCAACCTGTTCGTCTTGATCCCTGAGGACCAAACTAAAAGAACTGGGTGGAAGACAGAAGGGGGTAGATTTAGCTTAATGTAAGAAAAATTGCTTAAATGAAACTGTTCAAAAATGGAGAAGACAGCCTTGAGAAATAGTGAATTCCTCATTGCTGTGAGTCACTGGATTACATATTTAAAGCTAGAAGGGACCTTTGAGATAATTAAATGTGATACTGCCATTTTATAGGTCAGGAAGCAGAGACTGCACAGGGAGCAAGGCACAGAACTAGAATTTAAAGCCAGGTCCCTCAACTTTAAGTTTATCAGTCCTTCCACTGTTCCACATGGCTTGCCTCTTGAAGCTGAGGGGACCACTTTTCAAAGATGTTAGATGATCTTACAGAGGGAATTTTTGTTCAAGTACTGAATGGATTAGGATTCATTTGTTTAGGATTTAGTAAATTGTTAAATAATTGTGTGAAGAAAATTATACCAAATATTATTTTTTTAAGCTAGAATGGAGCTGAGAAATAATCTAGTCTATCCTTTCTTTTTTTTTCAGATGAGGAAACATAGATTTAAAAGATTTCACATCACACAGCTAGTTTATAACCAGAAACTACAATTCCAGCTCTATTTCCATTACAGCAGGTTGCCTTAGATGTGATTAGACTTTATATAATTCCTTATTACAAACTGATGGTAAATGTCATCACTTATTAATAGAGAATATTTCTAAGGTGGAGAAGATTCTGTTTTTAGATTGTGATTAAATGATTACTTATTTAGTGAAAAGTTCTGCTATGACATATCAAATCTTTTATTTTTTAGGTGATATTTCATAGGTTTTATTGAAGTGCTCTAATTTTATATGAGTATAAGCACTTTGAAAGAAAAAAAGTACTATAAATATTTCAAGAAGTAGTTTAATCTGGGTGTAGTGGCACACATCCCAGCTCTTGGAAAGGTGGATCTCTTGAGCTAGGGAGTTCTGAGCTGCAGATGGGCAATGTTAATTAGATATACGTATGAAGTTCAAGGACAATATGGTGAGCTTCAGGGAGTGGGGGCCACCAGATTGCCTAAGGAGGAATGAACCAGACCAGGTGGGAAACACAGCAGGATAAATTCCTGTGCCAATCAGTAGTGGGATCCGTATATGAATAGGCCCTGTACTTCTAGCCTGAGGGAGATGGGGAGAACTAGTTTTGAAAAAAAAAAAGGTTTCAATATAGCAAATTATAAGAGAAAACAGAGGAGTTGATTATAAAAATAATTTTTTTCAGAGCAAAATTCAAGACTAGGATTGATGTGTGTGTCCAGACCATAAATCAGTGTGTGTGTGTGTGTGTGTGTGTGTGTGTGTGTGTGTGTATGTGTGTGTGTGATAGTAAATATTTCTGATGCAAAGAGACAGTCAAAATGTATAAGGAATTGAAATGCATTCATAAAAATTTGAGCCATTCATCCTTAATTAAGAATTTAAAGGATATGAAATAGTTTTGACTATTAACCTTAATAATAATCACATAACAATAACAATTAAGCTTAACAATAACTACATGAAAAAATGTTCATAATTTCAGAGAAATGAAAATTTTAAATAAAGGTGATAATACACCTGACAATCATCAAATTTGCAAAGATGATAAAATTAAGCATTGGTGCACTTGTGGCAGAGCAGGCATGGTATTATTCTGCTAGTAAAGTGAGTTGGTCCAACTTTTTTGGAAAGCCATATGGGATTCTATAATAAGAATTGAAATAATGGACATATCCTTTGAGCCAATGACCCTGAACTTATTATTTGAAGTTTTAAATTTAAAAAAAAATAGCTTCAAGTATCTTAGGAAAGATAATATCCTTTTAAAAGTTTAAATTAGATGTTGCAAGACACCTAAATAGAGTCATTCACCCATCATCATGATTTTAGAACATTCCATCTAAATACTGCTTTTGTTGAACATTACTTTTACACCGTGATTTCAGAGAAATCACCCTGTCATTGTCTCTTTTATGGGAAGTAGAATTAACTTAACTGAATTGATTGCTCCTTCTAATTAAAAACTTCCAATATCTTTTATCCATTAACACCCAACACTATATCTTTTTAAGTTAAAAAAAATTTTTTTCACTGTATCTTTACTAACTGGTTTGTTATAATTTTTTTTTTCCTCACCCAGGTTGGGAAAATCAGGAAGACTGCTGCTCGGAAAAGAGAATATCATGTCCTCTTCATGGTTGTCACGGCTGTCATCTGCTACCTAATTTGCTGGGTACCATATGGGATGATTGCATTACTTGCTACATTTGGCCCCCCAGGAGTGGTGTCACCAGTGGCCAATATTGTACCATCAATTTTGGCAAAGAGCAGCACTGTATGCAACCCAATCATCTATATACTTATGAACAAACAGGTAAAGCTCAAAGTAATTACTTCTTTAAACCCAAATGGGCATCTCAAAATGTCTTAACTGCTTGGTCATTAAGTGTCTAAGGTTTACTCCCCATATACACCCTTTTTGCCAATCCGAGGAAAATATAGTGGCAATAAAATAATAGAAATCATTCAGACCTTCAGTTTGCATCACATAAATTTGGGAGACAACCAAAGGCCACCTTAATCTAAATGAGATATTTTCAGGTGAGTGAGGAGTCTGTCCATGATCATTTTTATGAAGCACATAATAGCCCAGATGATTTCCTAGGGCCAGGATTTTCCTGCACAGGTGTCAGAGTCTGTTGCATAGACATTTTCATTGACTTGTTGAGTTTTACAACCAGAAAAGTCCTAGAAATTGTCATCATCAGAAAATCATCAATCTGGGATTAGAAGGAAACTAATGTCATTTAATTAAACCCCTTCTTTTCATAGAAAAGGAAACTGAGGCCCAAAGAGAAGCAACTTGTCTAAGGCCGCTCAGATAGTAAATAATCGAGCCTAGACTCAAATCCAGGTTTTCCTACTCTGGTATTCTTCCTACCACAACACTTTTCCTCTCTATATCTTTTTTTTTTATACTTTAAATTTAACACCAAATAAAATGAAAATATTCATATGCAAAGGAGAACTATCAATCAGTCTATAAGTATTTATTAAGTACTTACTATGTTCTAAGAAAAGGCAAAAACAGTCCCCAATCTTGGGAGCTCAATTTCTTTTTTTAAATTTTTTTTTAATTTTTAGGCAATTGGGGTTAAGTGACTTGCCCAGGGTCACACAGCTAGTAAATGTCAAGTGTTTGGTCTGAGGCCATATTTGAACTCAGGTCCTCCTGACTTCAGAGCCGGTGCTCTATCCACTGTGCCACTTAGCTGCCCCTGGGAGCTCAATTTCTAATAAGAGAGACAATATACAAGCAAGCAGGTACATTAAAGATGTATATGGAATAGATAAAAGGGTAACCTCATGGAGCAGGCACTGTTTTGCAAGGAGGATGGAAAAGGCTTCCTGTAGAAGATGTATTTGATTTGAGTTTTGAAGGAAGGTGGTGGTGGTGGTGAGGAAAAAAAAATATTATTGGCACAAGGAGACTGTCGGTGCAAAGAAGGAGGAGTGTTGCGTTCAAGGAACTGAAAGTAGACTGTGTAGTTCGAAAATAGACTTCATAGAGAGTAATATAGTGTAAGAAGACTGGAAAGGTAGGAAGGAGCCATGTTGTTAAGGGCCATAAGTGACAAAGAGAAAAGTTAACCTAGAGGTTGAATTGAGTTTATAGCATAAGGATGTAACATGGTCAGACCTAAGTCTTAGGAAAATCACTTTTACAGCTGAGCAGAGGAAGGATTGGAGTGGTGGGAGATTTCAAGCAGGAAAACCAAAAATATAGTCAAGGAAAGAAAAAGAGGATTGTTTATGCAGCCATAAATCTATATCATATATAGCTTGCTTCCCCCTCTAAGGATATAACAAATTCAACGAATTTCTAAAGTTATTCTGTTTATCTGTATTTCCTATTGACTTTCCTTCTGTTCCATCCTGTGCATTTTAAAATCACTTCAATTGCCTTATTTCATATGTATATATTCATACATATACACACATATACACACATACATATATAAATCTACATGTGTATATATACACACACATATTCCAAACTTTCATATATACATATGTGTATATGTATATACATGTATGTATGTATGTATGTATGTATGTATGTATGTATGAATGAAAGTTTGGAAACCCTATTGTTAACTTCTTTCCTTAAACTGAGAGAAACAAAAATAAAAACATTTTGTCAAACATGCATAGTCAAGCAAAATGCATCCTCATTTTGCCCATGCCTGAATTTGTCCCTTTATGGTCAGGAAATGGGTAGCATGTTTCTTCACTGGTCTCTTGGTTGGTCATTGCATTATCAGAATTCTTAAGTCTTTCAAAGTTATTTTCCTTTCCAATGCTTTTATTATTACTCAAATCCTTTTCTGGATTCTGCTTATTTCACCACCATCCTCCCATTACCCCAGGTGTCATTCTTGACTCTTCACTACTCACCTCCTACATGCAATCTGTTGCCAAGAGCTGCTGGTTTCACCTTTGCAACATTTCTTAAACATGTTCCTTTCTCTTCTCTGATACTGCCACTGCCCTGATGTAGGCTTCATCTCCTCTCTCTTGGACTTCTGCAATAGCCTGCTGATTGGTTTGTCTGCCACAAGTTTCTACTCATTCTAGTCCTTGCTCCACCCTGCCACAAACATGATTGTTTTCTCAAGCACAGGTCCAATCATGTCACTATCCTGTCTCCACAAACTCCAGTGGCTCCTTATCACCTCTAGGATCAAATACAAAATCATCTGTTTGGCATTCAAAGTCCTTAAGATAGCACCCTCTACTATTCCACTCATCTTACACCTCATAGTCCACTCTTCACATGTACTCTTTGATCCAGCAACACTGGTTTCTGTGCTGTTCATTGAACAAGACATTCCATCTCCCAATTCTGGGCACATTCGCTAACTTTCCCTCATACCTGGAAAGCTCTTATCCTTATCTCTGCCTCCTGGATTCACTGGCTTATTTTAAATCTCAGATAAATCCCATCTTCTATAGAAAGCACTTTCCAAGCTGTCTTAATTGTAGCGCCTTCCCTCTGTTGGTTGTTTCCCCCATTTTTCTTGTATGTAGCTTATCTGTACACAGAGAGGTGGGGAAGAGAATAAGCATTATGTGGCACTTATCACGTTCCAGGCATTGTGCTAAGCACTTTATGAACATTGTCTCGTTTGATCTTCACAACAGCCCTGTGAGATAGGTACTGTTATTATTCTCATTTTACAATTGAGGAAACTGAGGCAAACGGAGGCTAAGCTCCTTGCACAGGGTCACATAGCCAGTAACTGTTCAAGATGGGATTTGAAGTTGGGTCCTCATTACTGCAGGCCTAGAACCCTATCCATTGTACCACCTAGCTGCTCATGTAGTAATTTGCATGTTGTCTCCCTAAAAAGATTGTGAGTTTCTTAATGGCAGGAATTGTTTTGTTTTGTTTTGGTTTTGCTTTTTTTGGTATCCCTAAGACATAGCACAGCACCTAGAACATAGTAGTTGCTTAATAAATGTTTATTGACTGACTCAATTCACTCTATCAATTGATATAAGTATTCTCAGGTTTCTCTAAAAACATTTTATAAATTCCTACAGCAGAACAATACTGTGTTATGTCCACATGCCAAAATTTGTTCCATCCTTCCCCAATTGATAGACACCGCTTAATTTCCATTTCTTTGCCTTTACAAAAAGAGCTGCTATATGTAGTTTTGTATATTTGGTCTTTTTCCTCTTTTCTTTGATCACTTTGAAGCTCAGGCTCAGTATTGGTGTTGCTAGGTCAATGGATATGTACATTTTAGAATGACTTTGTAGGTATAGTTCCAAATTGCATTCCAGAATGGCTGGGTCAATTCATGGCTCCATTAACAATGTATTAATATAGATCTTCCAAAAATTGTCATTTTTCTTTTTTTGTCATTTTTGCTAGTGACCTCTTCCATCTCTAGGGCAAATAAAATCATTAGGAGCTTTCCAAATAGCCACGGCAGGAAAGAGAAGAGAATAGGGCTATTCTGTTGATTCACTGGAGAAGAGTGTCCTGTAGAGGAAAAAAAGTTACTTTATAAGTCTTGAAAGAAATGTTTGGCATTTTAATGTGACCCAGGTTTATTTAACTCCTAAGCAATACAATCTCTCTCAAAAAAGGTCAATCAAAACGTATTTAACAATCATTGATTCTCATTCAGCAGATTTTTCTTTCTTTGAGATGGATTAACAGGTCAGAAATAACTTGAGGAATCTTTCATAGATATAATAAGCAAAATGTATTTTTGATTGAATAGATAATGTCTTAGGAATGGGGGAAGGGAAAGCTAAGCTTTACCTGAGAATTTCATTGTTTGTCTGTCTCCCTTGCAAGCTGAAGGAAAATCAGCTAGTTGTAAATTTTCTGTGTTAAAATCCATCATATCCCAGATGGTCATGACACACACACACATATTTGACATAAAGTTTAAACATAGATTAGGTAAATTATTTAAAAAAATTTTTGTAACTAAAAACTGTTTGTGGAAGGAAATATCACAGGAACCCTACCACAACATTTTCCAACAGCTGTTGCAGACAAATGAGAGAACCTGGCATGTGCAGGCAAGACCTTAAATTCATAATACTCACCTGGTACTAAGAAATTGTTCTTTCATTTCTCAATAGTGTAAGGTAAAGCAAGTCCAAGGATAGATAAAATATAGAAGTAAAAATTCTCAGTAATACTATAAAATCTGGTAACTCACCTTGAGAGATCCAAAGGATTTTATCACATCAAGTCTATGTGAATTATTTTTATGAGTGTTCCAGATGGAAGCAAAGAAAAAAAACAAGAAAAGAAAGAAAAAAACTGGAAATATTCTATGTAGAGAGGGTCCTTTGTTCAGACATTGCCTTTTTCTAATGTATTAAGAACAGGGAATGTTTATGCTATTCTTTGTATCCCCGGAACTTAGCACAGTGTTGGCGCAAAAAAAGGTACTTAATAATTGCTTGTTGAATTGACTTGAGTAATGTTGATTTAATTGTCAAAGCAGGGTCCACTATCAGCAGTACTGACAGATTTTCAGTGTTCCTTATAGCATTATCTCTGCCTACCTTTTTACAAGGGAAGGGGAGGCATAGGAAATGGTTTTATTGCAAAGTGATGTTGGTATCATCTGGCACCTCATTAGTTTCTGGCAACATTGTCATGGTAGGGGTCAATCTGGGTTTCCAGTGACACATCCACAGTGAATAGCTCCATAGCAATTAATTTCTGTTGAGACTGTATTGCAGATATGTGCTCCTTACTCCTTTCATTTCATTTTGAGTCTGCTCTTCTGGGAAAGGGACAAAGAGGCATAGTAATAGAGCATCAGAGAAGTGAAA